CTAGACACAGCAATGAGACAAGAAGAAATAAAAGGCATCCAAATTGGAAAGGAAGAAGTAAAAATGTCTTTATTTGCAGATGACATGGTACTGTACATAGAGAACCCCAAAGATTCCACCAAGAAACTACCAGAACTGATAAATGAATTCAGCAAAGTAGCAGGATGCAAAATTAATGTCCAGAAACCAGTTGCATTTTTATATGCCAATAACAAACTAATATAAAGGAAATTAAGAAAACAATCCCATTAACAATTGCTTCAAAAAAAATAAAATAGCTAGCAATAAACCTAATCAAGGTATAAAAGATCTGTACTTGGAAAATTATAAGACACTGAAGAAATTGAAGAAGATACAAATGAGTGGGAGCACATACTGTGTTCATGGATAGAAAGAACATCATTAAAATGTCCTTACTATTCGAAGTAATCTATAGATTCAATGCATTTCCTTTCAAGATTCCAATGATGTATTTCACAGAACTAGAATAAATATTTCAAAAATTTATATGGAACATCAAAAGGCCCTGCATAGCAACAGTGATGCTGAGAAAGAAGAGCAAAGTTGAAAGAATCATACTTTCTAATTTCAAACTATACTATAGTGATCAAAACAGCAGGGTACTTCCCTGGCTGGTGTGGCTCAGTGGATTGAATGCCAGCCTGTGAATCAAAAGGTTGCCAGTTTGATTCCCAGTCAGGGCACATGCCTGGGTTGTGGGCCAGGTCCCCAGTAGGGGGCACTTGAGAGGCAACCACACCTTGATGTTTCTCTCCCTCTCTTATTCCCTCCCTTCCCTTCTCTAAAAATAAATAAATAAAATCTTTAAACAAACAAACAAAAAACTAGCATGGTACTGGCATAGAAGCAGACACATAGATCAATGGAACAGAATAGAGAGCCCAGAAATAAACCCACCTTTATAGTCATGTAATATTTGACAGAGGAACCAAGCACATATTATGGGCCAAAGATAGTTTATTCAGTAAATGGTGCTGGGGAAATTGGACAGAACATGCAGTAAATGAAACTTGATTACCTTGTTACAACACACACAAGAATCAATTCAAGATGGATCAAAGACCTAAATATTGGACCTGAAATCATAAAAATCTTAGAAGAATACATAGGCAGCAAAATCTTGGACATTATTCATAGAAATTTTTATTGGATATATCTCCCCAGGCAAGGGAAACAAACAAACAACAAAAATAAACAAATGGGACTTCATCAAACTAAAAAGTTTTTGCACAGCAAAGGAAATTATCAACAAAATATAAAGACAGCCCACAGAATGGGAGAACATATTTGCCAATATATCTGATAATGTGTTAATATCCAAATTTATAAAGTACTTACAAAACTCAACACCAAAAAAAAAAAAACCCAAACCAAAACAACAAACCAACCAACAAAGAAACTAACAAAGAAACAACCCAATTAAAAACTGGGCAAAGGAGCTGAATAGATAATTCTCCACAGAGGACATACAGATGGTCAATAGACATATGAAAAGATGCTCAATGCCACCGATCATTAGAGAAATGCAAATTAAAACTACAATGAGATACCATCTCACAACTGTCAGAATGGCTACCATCAATAAATCAACAAACAACAAGTGCTGGGGAGGACATGGAGAAAGGGGAAACTTTTTGCACTGTTCATGGGAACGCAGACTGGTGCAGCCACTGCAGAGAGCAGCATGGTGATACCTCCAATAATTACAAATGGATCTGCCTTTTGACCCAGTGATCCCACTTCTGGGAATATATTCAAAGAAACCCAAAACACTAATTCAAAAAGAACATAGGCACCTCGATGTTCAGTGCAGCGTTATTTACAGTTGCCAAGATATGGAAGCAGCCCAAGTGTCCATCCATAGATGAGTGGGTGAAACAACTCTGGGACATTTACACAATGGAATGCTACTCAGCCGTAAAAAAAGAAGAAACTTTTACCCTTTGCAACAGTATGGATGGACCCGGAGAACATTATGCTAAGTGAAATAAGCCAGTCAGAGAAAAACAAATCCCATATGATTTCACTTGTATGTGGAATCTAATGAGCAAACAAAACAAAAAAGCAAAGCAGAGGTAGACTCATAGCTGGAGAGCAGGTGACAGCCCGTCGGGGTGGAGGAAGTAAGAGGGGGGAGGGACTGAGTAAAAAGGAAAGAGGACTCATGGACATGGACCGCAGTGTGGTGATTGCAGGGGGGAGGGAGGTATAAGGGGACTAAATGGTAATGGAAAAAATATAATAAAAGACTAAATAATAAAAATTCACTGAAGCTGAACACAGCCTCTCACAGCGGCGCCAGTGGGTGCACTGGTACAAATGGGTCCCTAGAACACTCCCCTGGTGGGGGAGCCTGTAGTACAAGGGGCCCGCCCTCCAGGAGACAATTCCACTTGTTACGTGTATATGTGTACATGTACATATACAAAAGAATAATCTGAAATAAGTTTAAGTACATGTAAGAATTTAGTATATTTAAAAGGCAATATGTTAAGCATGTATGTGTGTGACATATTTAATAAGTGTAATGTGACAATTGGCTTGCCATATGGGAAATAAAATTTAATATAATTTTCCAATTTACTTCTTTCTCTAATAGAAAATTCTAGGTGGATACATTATCTGTTTTAAAACATGAAGCCGAAACATAGAAATAAGCCAAAGCACATTTAATATTCAACTAAATAGTATGTTTTTAGTTACTATTTTTGAAACTGGAGAAATATTCAGGCTAACTACTTTTTCATTTCTGCTTTATTTTTTCTCATTCCCAGGGATAGATAACCTCAAAATGAAATTGAAAATAAAATACCCTGTGAAGAGGTGAAGTTGCAAAAAAATGTTACTTCTATAAGGTTCTTTGTAGTGGAGGGTCCAAATTCTGGAATCATACTTAGGTTAACATATCAGCTCTGCTGTTGTTTTATCTGTGGATAAATGATAAGGTAATAGATATTGCTTGTTTTTATGAGGTAACTTTCTTAATTTAAAATGACGTGATATTTTATGTTTCTCTTTTAAGAGTTAAACAACACACGCAGTGCAGTGTACAGGTGATGATGTGTTGTAGAATTGTGCTCCTGAAACCTGTAGGATTTTGTTAACCAGTGCCACCCCAATAAATTCAATAAAAATGAAAAAAAGTTAAACAACAAATTAAGTTTTTTTGTGTTTTTTTTGGTGTTTGTTTTCTGTTTTTAATGTGACCCTTTATTTTTGTGTGTGATATGTCTTTGGCTGTAATGAGGAAGCGGTCCCCCTGTTTGCTTTAATCCTACTTCCAGGTCATTGCTCTTCTGACCCAAGAGGCATATTAAGTAAATTTGCTTCCTTTTGTGCCATGGAATGTTCAGAGGCTCCAGGCACTGCAGTTTTGTATGTTTGCCAAACAGAAGTTGTAAGCGCCTTGGGCCAGGCCCAGGGCTGCTCTTCCTCAGGTAATCAGACTTTTCTAGAGCATCATCATAGAATTATTTTTAGTGGTTTCTGTTGTTCCTACCATGTGAAAATTTGATCTATGCCTTTCCTCTGACTGACTAGATTTTACAAGACCTTCTGTCCATAGATTATCTTCCCTTTCCAGAATGGCAACTTTACAAATTCCAGGCCTAATGCTTTCTTTCTCTCTCCTTTTCCCGAATCACTGCAATGCTTATTGTTTGCTGAATTACACCAAGTGTTTCTTATTCATTTACTAGTTATAAACATATCTCTATGCCTCATATATAAACGCATTTTCTATTCATAAGATTATAAACTCATTTAGAATAGACACCAATGTCATCATTTTGGATTTATAATGAATACATTTTTGTTTATTGAAATGTATTGCCTCTTTATGCATATTTTTACAAGAAAGAGTCACCAGAAAGACCACTTTAAAACAGGTTTTAGGCCGTCTTCTCGCAACCAGATACATGTTCCATCTCATCCTGCTCCACATTCATATTCAACAGTTGTGGAAAAAAATACAAGAATGTGAAAGCACATACATTCTTCTACCATCTCATATGATCTGTTTCATTAATATCCATGGAAACATCATGGAGGTTCAATCTGTGTTTGTGGAGCAAAGAAGCTTATCCTTGACACACCTATATCGATTTTATGAAAGTAGAGTCCTATGCAAGCTCAGAAGTCTAGAACGCTCAGGTCACGATGCAGTGCACATGTAATGTCTCCCTCACATTGTGGTAAAATTGCCCCCTTAAGTTTAAATTCCTCTACCTGTTTTTTTAAAAGATTTTATTTATTTATTTTTAGTGAAAGGGGAAGGGAGGAAGAAAGAGAGGGAGAGAAACACTGATGTGAGAGAGAAACATCAATTGGTCGTCTCTGGCACAAGCCCTGACCGGAGTCCAAACCACAACCCAGGCTTGTTCCCTGCCCAAGAATTGAACTGGTGACCTTTAGCTTTGCAGGAGGATGCCCAACCAACCAAGCCATACTGCTCCTCTACTGTTTTTTGTCAAAGTAAAAGGCATAGAGTAGGGAGTTTGGAAAAGCCATTTATTTTCTGAACTTCAGTTTCCCCAGTTACATGGGAATAATAATACCTACCTCACAATTGTTTTCCAGGTCAAATCAGTTGGCTTCATAAAGGTTATTTGTAACCTGTAAAAAATTATATGGGTATCAACATAAGGATTAGGAGCAGTAATATAGACGTAGGTGGATGTCACAGAAAAAAAGAGCTTTGATGTGGATATTTTACTTATCTTGGACACTTTCTGCAAGGTTCCATCCTTGCTGAGTTGCTTTGCTTGATTTCCATTGGCGTGGGTGAAAGAAATATGAAACATCATTTTTGAAAGCAACTACAACGTGGAACTTTCCAGTGTTCTCTCCTCTGTACCTAGAAGTCCTCTACTCTCTACATGAATCCTTCCTTCCCTTTCTGTCTTAAATCTTTCCTGTTATCTGGAGTCCCATCCGTGTTCGAAATTTGGGTGTCTACTGTATGTCTGCGACGTATGGCGTCAATGAGGATGCAAATCCTCGCTCCCTGCCAGCCTCCCTATGGCTGCCTTCATTTCTTTGTTGCGCAGTGTGTAGATGATGGGGTTGAGCAGAGGAGTGACGACAGTGTAGAAGACAGCTACCACCGCGTCCAGGGGCTCCTGGGAGCCAGGACGAAGGTAAATGAAGGTGCAAGGCACATAGTAAACAATGACGACTGTGAGGTGAGCAGCGCAGGTGGAGAAGGCGTTGCGGCGTCCATCGGCAGACCGGATTCGCAAGATGGCAGCCACTATGCAGCCATAGGAAGTGAGGATGAGCACAAAGCAGGTGAGGGCCAGGAAACCAATGTCCACAAAGGTGACCAGTTCATTGATGGTGGTGTCGGCACAGGCCAGACGCAGTATGGCAGGAATGTCACAGAAGAAATAGTCTACCCGGTTTGGACCACAGAAGGGCAGACGGAATATGAAGCTTGTCTGGAAAAGTGAGTGGAGCGTGCCTCCCAGCCAGGTACCTAAAGCCAGGTAGTTACAGACGCTGTGAGTCATGGTGGTGGCATAATGTAAAGGTTTACAAATGGCCAGGAAGCGATCGTAGGCCATGAGTGTGTAAAGGAAGCATTCAGTGCAGCCCAGGAAATGGAAAGAAAAAAGTTGGATTACACAGCCCCCAAAGGAGATAACCCTGCTCTCCAAGAGGAAGCCAGCTAACATCTTGGGGACAATGGCAGAGGAAATGGTCATGTCCAAGAAGGAGAGGTGACATAGAAACCAGTACATGGGGCGGTGGAGCCGGGTGTCCACCAAGACCATGAGAATAATGAGACCATTGCCACAGACGGTGAGGGCATAGATGGCAAAGAAAGCTAGGAAGACGGGTACCCTCAGCGGCGGTGGGTAGTGCAGGCCCACCAAAATGAAGTAAGACACAGAAGTTTGGTTTCCGCTTTGCATTTCCTTGCTGTTTACATCTGAAAAAGAAGGAACAGAAGAGATGTCTCAAATACTCTTCAAATACTCTGGGAATAACATACTTTTTTTCCTGTGTCCTTCCCAAATATGAACAGAACGGATGCCAGAAAGTTATCTCAAAAAGAGAGACCTTGCTCTGGCTCTAGCTCTTGTTCTCAATCATTTTTTCTCCTCACATTTCCCCCAATTCCTTATTCCAAGATTCTTCCTGGTTCCAGGGAAATATTTTTCCCTCCAAGTTTAAAACCTATGTAACAGATTATGTGTATATAATTGAGGAGAGCAAAGGAAAGACCATACATAGAGCTTTTCATTTCAGGAAGAAGTGTAATCTTATAAAACCTAAGTAAATCTATAAAGAAATGACTGGTCTATTGTTTTCCTTAGTTTGGCTTATGATCTATGTACCTGACTGTTAGGTTATAGTTTACTAATTTTTTTTAAGAACATGAGAGGTGAGATTATATAGAGGTAAGTGTTCCCAATAAAAACCTGTGTAGATTTGAAAAAATGTATTATCTGGACTATACACTGAACATAAAATATTCAGAATGTTTGAAGTTATGGCTAAAGTATCTCTTTTAATAAATTCTATTTTAAAAACACACATGCCATTTAAAATATTTCAAGATAGTGAAGTGACAACAAAGTCTCAGCCCTAGGGCATCTGTTGTCATTTCTTCTCTCTGCTTCTGGATAAGTGAAGTCCATCAATACAGTTATGTTTTTGTTTGTCCATCTGTCCATTTAGTAAAGTAGCATATATTATATTTTGAGAGCATGGCCTTAAATTTTAAAATCCTAGCTCTTCCACTTTCACTTACCAGTGATCTTGGAAAAGCCATTTCACCCTTCTTTGCCTATATCTGTAAGTGGAAACAATCATAGTGCCTCCTTCCAGGGATTGTTGTAAGTATTAAATAAATTAATTCAAATAATTCACAGTAGCATGCAGTAAACATTAGCTATCATTTCCCATCAACTATGTGTTGTGGTCCTGTATTATTAGAAACTCTAGTCATTGTATTTATGCCTCTGACCTAAAGGGAATCTGTAACTTCCAGTGAGTTGTCATATAGTAGATTTGAGTCATCAAATTTGAAGCAAATTACAGAGCCCTTTTCTGCTAGGACTACTGGTGACTGACATCAGACACAGGGAGAGGAAGAAATCAGGAAATTGGCTAAGGGGGTGCCACACGTCTTCCGGACCCTGAGGGGTCACGTGAGGTACATTCTTCCTAGTGACAACTTCCTTCCACCAACCTGTGCTCTAATAGTCTATTTACCCACGGGAGGCAAATATCCAAAGTGGTGTATCATTTTGCTGAGGACTTGGGGGTCACTCAGAACCACTCAGAAGGCTTCAGGCGTGTGGAATAAAATTTAGTTTCTAGCTGGACTCCAAATGGGCAAAAGACCCAAGATTGCAACTATGGCTGCCATCTGACCACTTCCATTCTCCTTTCTCCATCACAAATCACCATGAATCCATGCTCTTATCCTTCTTAATTTTTACACCCACAAGGATGACGCTTATCAGTGAAAACAAATTTTCTGGAGTCTTCTTCTTAAACCTAGGAGAGCCCAGGGCAAATTGAGTCAGGTGGTCACCCTAAGTAAGGGTCTAAACCACATAGGAACTAAATAATTCTCAACGTGTAGCTACAGAATCTATTCTGAAACAATTTCTGAGAAAATTCTTAGAGATTTTATAGATACTTCCTTGATCATCAACCTTCATTGGCATTACGGTGTCCAAAGGGGAAATCCAAATTTATTAGCATGACCTATAGGAATAGAGAGCCTCATAATCTGGTGTCAACTCCCTAGCCTTCCCCCTCTGCACTCTGTACCATAAATTTGTGCTCTAGCCAAATATTCTTCCCCGTTTTCTTATCCAGGGGTGTCCAACCTTTTGGCATCTCTGGGCCACGCTGGAAGAGGAAGAATTGTCTTGAGCCACACGTTAAATACGCAAATACTAATGAAAACTGATAAGCCAAAAAAGGGGTCTTAAGTAAATTTATGATTTTGTGCTGGACTGCATTCATAGCCACCCTGGGCTGCATACAGCCTGCAGGTCACAGGTTGGACGCCCCTGATGGACATTAGTCGTCTTAGTCTGGAATGGCCTTGCTCCTTTGATGCCTGATTCAAGATGCCACTTACGTGTGATCTACTGCGCATGTAAAGCCTTTCCTGCCTTTCCTGCCAATGGTCACTCGCGCTTCGCAGTTCCCACACTAGTTCACTCACGTATCTGCAGCATTACTATGAATGTTGCGGTTGCCCTCCCTATGCCCGATTCCCCTGTGAGGCTCTGAGCTCCTATAGGGACTTGGTCTCATTTTTCTTTTCATCCCAAGTTTGCAGCATAACTTCCACAAAGAGATTCTTAAATCTAACTGAATAAATATGCATTCCCTTTTTGTGTGAATATCCCTGTTGTCTAGACATTTTGAATCCAGGCTAATATCAGTTAGGTCTTATAATCTAGCTCCCAAAATCATAAGAATTTCAATACTGAGACTGTTACTACTAATTTACTAACTAGCAACAATCTTTTGAACAAATCTCTTTAAAAATTTTAATCTTATTTTGTCACAAGTCAGTTTCTCATTTGTTAAAAAAAAAAAGGGGGGGGGAGGAGTTGGTGTAGATTCCAAAAAAGAAATACCAATTTCTTCCGTAGCCATATCAACTCGTGTGTTAAATTTGTTCTTACACACTGAAAATAAGTTTTCCTCCCAGCCCCAATTCCCTCTTGTACTATATTTTTCCTCTCATTCCCCAGCTTCCTTAACATCTCAGTCTTCATTCACTTCTATAATTCATTATTCTCCCTGGATAGAAATAATCATTTCTTTTCCCTGGGAAGGCAGAAAAATGTCTCTGGTTTACTCATTATCAACTAAAACTGCTCCAGGCACACATGTATACAATTTAGTCAGAACCACATTATGTTGTCAACATGCCATACATTCATCTGTGGAATAGGAAAAGAGGCAGTTTCTACAAATAGTCTTGGGGAAAGGGCTTCAGTTCTGCCCTTATGCTAGCTTTATCTGCCCACTCCACACCCTGTGTGAACCGGACTAGGCTTAAGGTAGACTCTGAAACTCACCTGGGGCAGAAAATTGAGAGGTAAGTTGGCCTTTGTTGTGTAGACTACAAATTTTTTGTCTCCCCCTTTGACTTATTTATAGAGCATAATGCTATTGAGAGATCTCGGCTGTCTCCTCTGTTCTCAATGTCTCTAACAGACTTTTAATAAATGTGTATTTCAGGGGCATTTCCATCACTGCCCGGCTGCCTCCTTCTGGAGTCATTTCTGCTGGTGGCCGCTCCCAGGGTGAACCGGCCGTGGGGCCGCGGCCTGCGGCTTGCTTCAGCGTCCTTGTGCTTGCGCTGTTTCTTGAGGAGATCCCTCGGCCTCCCCCTCGGACATGCCCCGTCTTGACTTCGTACCTGTGGCCTTCCTGTGCACTTCTCTGGCTCATCCCTCCTCCTTCAGCCTTTTTGAAAGTGTTGACAGCAATGTTCCTAGACTTTGGCCTCTGGAGTTTTGTTTCCTGGGAAGTAGCTTCTCCCTCCTGAGAGTCCCCATGGGCTGGGGCCAGGGGACTGGCATCACTTCTTCAGCCTTTAGGGGCAATTAACTTGCCAGGAAATACAGTACAGTGGGAAATACGTTGCAGTGGGCTTTGCCCACTTTCCATGATATTAAGTACTTTCCATGATATTAAATTTATTTCAGATTTAAGGTTCTGGTAGGAGGTAGCTGGAGAAATGTAGCAAGAGAAATGGAAGAAACTTGAGACTTGAAACACCTAAACTTCCCCTACCACAGAAGGCTCTCCAGCTCTGTGATAGTCCTGATGGGAATATATAAATACATATTTACACAGAACAATATGAGGCAAGGGAACACCTGGTTACAAACTTAGGCTTTGGTTCTGAATTCCAATGTGGACCCTTGGCCTCGAGAAGTTACCTTCCCTTCCCTTCATATTCGGGGGCCTAAGTGGTTGTTTCCTCACATGAGACCTCCCTGTGCTTTCCATTGGGTTTTCAGTGTGGAAGGGCCCTGGAAGTTCCCTGGGAGCGGATGGCAATTTCCAGTGCAAGTAACAACTTACAGGCACAGTCTGGGACTCTGAAATCTGCACATTTTCAAAGAAAGGCATACTGAAGCCTAGGAACATTCTGTGACTGTGATAAAATAATGTCTTATTTTGTTGTAGTAACAGGGCTAAAATAACAAAAAACAAAATGTATATTTTGAATGTGGATTATTAAATTAGAATATCAGATAAAGTTCTTATTTTGCTGCTACTCTTATATAAAATTAGAAAATTGTTAGGAAAAAACAGCGCTCCAAGAAATGGAATAGGGATTGGTGGCAAGATGTGGGTGATGTTGTGCCCGAATCCCCAACCCCACACCGAATCTGCCTACCCAGGGGAAAATGACCCCTCTTGCCCCATCTGTTGAGGCTGTTCTTGCTTTGCCTGGGGCTCCAAAAGGTCCCTCCTTCAAAGAGGGAGAGTTCTCCTCAGCCACACCCCTCAGGCCTCCTTCCTTCCTCTTCCCTCCACGGCACGCCTCCCCACCCCCAACATTAGTTTTAGTTGGATGAAAATGAATTCTGAAAGAGTTCGACCAAGGAAAAAAGAATGTAATGAAATATTTGGATAAATTACCAATATGCCCTTTTCAGGAGTCTGGCGCTCAGCAAGCTAGCGGGGCAGACGGCAGCAGCCTCACTCTGTTGGCTTAATGATTGGGTGGCTGACGCTTGGACTCCACAGTGGCTTATGCTAAATCAAGATGACGGGAAAGGAATGGAATGACTTGAGAACTGGAAATGTGGAAGAGGATTTATTGTAAACATGCCGCCTACCCACTCATGGGCAAACCATGTGCCCCGAGAGAGCCAATTATTCCCTTTACCGAGGCTCTAAGAGTTGTTGAGAAAGGTTACCATAAAGAGCC